GTGTGTGTGTGTGTGTGTGTGTGTGTGTGTGTGTGTGTGTGTGTGTGTGCGCGCGTGTGTGTGTGCGTGTGTGCGCATGTGTGCGCGTGCGCACGCGTAGGCGTTTCTCTCTGCGTGTGGTTGCATGTATTTGGTGACAACGACAATTTACTGTAGGCGATGACACAAATAGGACATGAGGTCGCGGCATGAGGACAGACTTGGTGATGACGAGTGAGCGGTAGGTACGCGGGCGCACGAGGTGAGTGTGCATGGCCACGCCTGCAGCGAACAGCGACTCAGCTAATGATCTCATTACAGCCTGCGACAACAACGCACACATCACACACACACACACACCTCAGCCACGTCTCTTTGTGCGTCATCATTATTCACCCAGAGAGATAGATGCATGGTGGAGGGGGTACAGGAGCTAGAGAGAGAGAGAGAGAGAGAGAGAGAGAGAGAGAGAGAGAGAGAGAGAGAGAGAGAGCCGAGTGTGTGAAGGGGAGAGAGGGAGGAAGGGAGGGAGGGGGTTGAGGGACGGAGGGAGGGAGGAAGGGAAGGAGGAAGGGAGGGAGGGAGAGAGGGAGGGAGGGATGGAGGGAGGGAAGGAGGGAGGGAGAGATGGAAGGAGAGAAGGAGAAAGAGACTGTGTATTTGTGTGTGGGAGGGCGGTGAGCGGGAAAGACTGGAAGGAATATCTGAATTAAAACAGTGAAAACTGTGCGAGAAATTGTTCGTTCACCCCACGCAATTAATCTGAGAACTGCATTGATTAGCCACAATACACCAATAACTAATTATTTAAGTCGTTGCATGACGCCCCCATCTTGCCCGAGAATGGAATGTACTGTTGTATTTCACATAACTATATTGTTTTAATTGATATATACTGATAATACCAACTCGCGTTTCTTGTAATCTGGGTGAGCAATTGCGGAATTCTAAATTAATTAAATACCGTGGAAAAAAAATGTTAAAAAATAGGTGGAATTGTATTTAGAATAAGACACGTCGATACGATCGTAAGGCCAGCAAGCCAGCCCTGAGGACATTTTCTGAATCTCGGCATCATTTGGCCAAGATCTTAATAGCATCAGCTCAGTTGATGCTATTCTCTCCTGATAGCCACTTTCATATATA